TGGAACTTGAATTGCAACACCTGTTTCAATTTCCAACTTTAAGACACTATTCTTGGACAACCAGAAGCCAATGGACTTGCTTGGTTTGCACTTGCTGAGATATTCCTTCACGGTTTCATTTACCTCAATTAGATAAATTGCTTCGTCTAAGGGGTCAAGCTCCATACTGAGTCAGTACAATATTGTACTTTTTCAAGACAATGTTGTACTTTTTCAAGACAATGTTGTACTTTTTCAAGACAATGTTGTACTTTTTCAAGACAATGTTGTACTTTTTCAAGACAATGTTGAACTTTTTCAGAACAATGTCTCTCAAATTTGAGTACAGCTGTACTTTTTCAGAACAAGTCTTGAACTTTTTCAGAACAATGTTGTACTTTTTCAAGACAATGTTGTACTTTTTCAAGACAATGTTGAACTTTTTCAGAACAATGTTGTACTTTTTCAAGACAATGTTGTACTTTTTCAAGACAATGTTGTACTTTTTCAAGACAATATTATATTGTTTCAGAACAAAGACGGTTAAGACACAAACGAATGTCCGACGTCCCACCTACTGAACCCGTTCCACAGCCAGAAGAACAGCATGCTCCAGCACCACAACAGGTTCCACCTCCACAAGGCTACCCACAGCAACCTCAGTTCCAACAAGGACCTCCGAATTACTACCAATTTCCACCTCAAGGTTACTACCCACCTCAAGGTTACTACCCACCACAAGGCTTTCCAAACTACCCTCCTCAACCCATGCCTTACTTCCCTAACCCTTGGATGTTCATGTCAAACCCTCCACCCCAATTCCAATCTCAATCCCAATCGAAGAGAGACCAAGAGTTCGAAGAAGGTCTGAACCGTTTACGCAAAGAGTATGCCACAGCCCCTATGGAAGACGACAGGCTTTCAGTCTCTTCCCTAAGGTCGACCGATTCGACTCGTACCACAGATTCGGTCAAAGACAGAGACGACTACCTCAAGCAGTCTGAGAGACTCTTCATCCTACAACCATTTACAGTTGGAGCTCTCAAGAACATGCGCAATTACGAAGGTCAGACACCAGCTGGAGACCGTAAAACAGACGTACTCGCAAGAGCAGTCCAACTGGTCAAGACAAAGACCGAGATAGTCGACTTCATTCTTGCAGCTTGCCCATACAAGTAAAAAAATAAACAATTACGAGTTAAACTTTTTACTCTTTCTTTTCTGAGTTGTTTAGAGCTGGTTTCTCTTGTAGGAACCTTTCGTACTCTTCCATGGTCATGTAATTGCGAATTTGGTACGCAATTCCAGGTTCGTTGTTTTTGAACCTTACGTATGTAACGCTTCCATCCTCCTCAGGGAAGTAAGCTGCTAACATCTGACCAAGTTTTCTCGGTGACTCGGAGCTCATAAAAATGTCACTTTTTAAACGTTAAGTTTTTAGTCTTATTTTACCCTTTGTTTACCCTTTGTTTACCCTTTGTTTGTCAAGGTAGTATTGGAGTGCAATTTCTCCAAATTCTCTGTGTCGGAGTTCTTCAGCATTTTCCAAGGTGTTCCTGGAGAACTCAAAGAAGTTGTCAAGAACATACTGCCATGCTGCTCTTCTGAGTTCGTCGGTATTTTGGAAGTGTTGCACCTTCGAGTCTTCGGACATGAAAAAATAACACTTTTTCTATTAAACCGTTTACAATTTGAATTTTGTTGCTGAATTCAGCAAAAATATAATTTAGGGTAGATGGGTATATCTAACCTCTTTTCTAACCTCTTTTCTAACCTCATGAATTTTCATGAATTTTATACAGAAAATGCTTGTTTTGAGGTCGAGCCACTTTTGGCTCCACCGTATTCTTTCAACCAAAACTCATGAATTCGGCAAAAATATATTTTAGGGTAGAAGGTTAGATATAACCTCTTTTCTAACCTCTTTTCTACCCTCTTGAATTTGTCATGAGTTTTCCCGAAATAAAAAATAAAGTTGGTTTTTTTAAAAAAATATTTTTTTATTTTTATTGTAAGAACATGTTAGCAACAACAGCACCAAACTCTTTAGTCATGAATCCAACATCTATGTTAGTAGAGATGAAAAACTTCATTCCTTCTTCATATACTTTCGAAACAGAAATCCAGAAGATAAAGCAGGAACTTTTAACAAGTAATTTAGACTGTAGTGCGAAAGATGAAACAAATGAACAGTATCTTTATGAAATGCAGGATATTATTGACCATTTACCTAAACTTCCTGAAATCCAACAACAAAAGCTTACTATTCCAGAATTCGATGAAATAGAAGTCAAAGCAACTGACTCAGTAGAAATAAAGAAGTTCATACGAAAGGTAAATTATGAGTTTCTTGGATTTCATTGCAACCACAAAGTCATGGACAAAGATTGCGATATGGTATATAAGAACATCTCTGACATATACAAATCTGGGGAGTTTAAGACCTACGACAACTTTGTTTCGTTAGTTGCAAAATGTGTATGGCAGATAAGAGATAAAGATAGAAGAGGTAAGGTATGGAATGAACAGATAAAACCCGCAACTTTTGAGTTAAAGAGAGCAATTGACGCCTTAGTCATACTAGCAGGTAAGATTTCAATGTACAATGCTAAAATGAACCCACAATGTTCAAAATGTAAAGCAGCAATGAGGAAATATAACTACTCCGTCAAAGAGATAGAACGTATGCGAAACGACTATGCTGACTTAAAGAAAGAAGTAGAGAAACCAGCAGAAGATAAAATGGACATGTTGACATTTCTGAACAAAAACTATCCAACAGCTGACGATTTCCTTCTATCTGATGTCAAGAAGAAATATAAAGAAACATTCGGCATAGTTAAAACATTCGATGTACTGACAGAAGAAATAGAAGCTACGAAATTGTTTAGAATTTCACGAATTCACAATGTTTACCATGTAAAACGGTTATAAAATAACTGGGGTAGAAAAGAGGGTAGAAAAGAGGGTATATCTAACCTTCTACCCTAAAATATATTTTTGCTGAATTCCGTATGAAAATTCATGAGTAAAATAATTTTTAGGGCATGTGTCAAACCGTTGAGTTTTCACAAAATTTTAAAAATAACGTTTACCATGTAAAACGCTTATAAAATAACTGGGGTAGAAAAGAGGGTAGAAAAGAGGGTATATCTAACCTTCTACCCTAAACATTATTTTTATTGACTTTTTACAATTTGAACTTTGTTCGCGTAGATATGAATTCTGAAAGAAGTATGAGGGTCTTGTATGACTTTGTACTTCTCCCATAGTTCATGTCTGTCAAACTTACCTGCCATGGACTCTTTCATAAGTTCCATGAAATCGTCTTCGGACAATCCAGGGAAAAGTATGATATCAGTAAGTATTCTCTTTACATCCTTACTTAAACTCTTTGCTGTCTGTACACAAATGACAACTGAGATGTTAAAGTGTCTGAGCTTCTTAAGAATTCGACACATATCTTGTTCTCTGTTCTTTAACAAAGGATGAGAAGCAAAGTCATCTAAAATAAGAAGACATCTATGAGGGTAAGTCTTCCAATCGTAAGATTGCAATTTCTTCGAAATGTATTCTATCTCTTTCTGTTTGTTTCTGAAGTGTTTCTTCTCTAATATTCTCTGCATTTCCTCATTTGGGTCTTTAAACTTCGAATTGACATACTCATTTATAGCATTGTACTTCAAAACTCTTCTTTGGTACTTCTTTATCCAATCTAACAACTCAGAGTCTTTTATACATACTAACTTAGACTTTTTTATAATATCTTTGAACGAATTTACGGTTTGGTCAAATTGACCAGAAGTACTACAAATGACTACTAACTCATAGAATGGGTTCTTCTCATCTAGTTCTTGTTGTTGTGCAGCCATTTTAAGATAAGTGAAAGTCTTACCCGACCCAGGTGGTGCAATTAGACCTGTTATACCATTCTGAGCAAATAAGAACTTGTCATGTATGGGTTTTATCTGAGCATTTTCTAACTTCCTCTTGTTCTTGTTTAAAACATTCTCAAATTTCTTGTCAATGTCAGCAAACTTTTTTTCTAACATATTTTTAGAAAAATTAAAAATTTTATCTTTTAGAAAATGTCTAGCGATTTCGCTATCTATATTCGAGACAAACTTTTTGACAGCAAAACATCTGTCGACCATAAAATCTTACATAGTGTAAACAAGAAAGGTGAATTTGTTCTAAAGTTCTGTTTCTGGGAATATGACAAGAACCATAAAACATTACAAAGAGCAGTCTTAAAATTTGTCAATGACAGACTTGTTGACAGAGATGACGCCGATTGGAAAGATGAAGTCCAACAAAAGTTCTTAGAATGCAAAGAAGACACATGCGCTGTTCTTGAAGATGAAATAGAAAACAGAATAGAAGAGCTATTAAAGGACAAAGAACTTTTACAGAAATATGGTTCGGAGAAATTTGACATAACTCCACCAGAAAAGAAGAAAGAAGAAAGAAAGAAAAGAAAGAAAAGAAAGTAGAAGAAGAGAAGAAAGAACCTGAACCAATTCCAGAGAAAAAGAAATTTGACATGTAAAAATAAAATTTTATTTTTAGAACATTTCTGGGTCAATGTCAATGTTCTCTTCCTCTTTCGGAGCAAACACTGGCTTAGACTCTAAAATCTTTTTACCCAATTTACCTTGAACTTCAACTATCTTAGACTCATAATATTCATAGTCGTCTGCTTTCTTTGGTTCATAAGGTATAACAAGTTTGTATGCTTTACCTTCTTCGAGTTTTGAGAACTTTCTGTCAAAATTTTCTTTGACTGCTAACAAACCTTCTATGTCTAAGTCTTCAAAAGTTGCACCACTTTTTCTAACAACAGCAAACTTAACTGGTGCAATGTTCCAAATTTTGTCAAATGTAGACTTTTCAAAATTGTAGAAGTAAACATTCAAATATGCGAATGGGTCTAGTTCTTCTTTAAGTCCTGTCATGTACTTATTTACTGAAATATATTTCGTCATCTTTTCTATCGGATAAAAAAATACTGTTTTTAAAATTTACTCATAAAAATTTTTCTTTGTATATACGCCGTTCTGTACGTCTAAAAGATTTTTGACATTTGCCAAGAATGTTCGTTTAGACGCTGTCATATAACCATACTCTTGACAATACTGTTTATATTCATCGTACAATGACCTTTCATCTAAACACTCAAAGTTAGTCTCATCTATAAACAGTTCATATACACTCTTGTTTGCTTCTAACAATGTTTGTCTTTCTTCGGTATATGGAATTTGTCTTGGATTGAACTTAGAAATATCTAATGTCATAAAGTATGAGAACAAGTGGTTGTAAAAGTCAGATGTCAAAGTTTCTGCTAAGTCGTCAAAATATTCTGTATCTTGCATATGAGAATCTGACGTTCTGACAACTACATATCTTCTGTCAGAACTTTCTAACTTCATCGGAACAGCATTGTTTGAAACCATAATGAAGTTTGCAACATTTTCACAAACTCTTTGGTCTTTATATTTTCTTTCAACAACTCCAACTTTGTCTGTTATAAGACTCTTCAAAGCATCTGAGTTCAAAACTTTTGTTGTATCTATACTTTGAAGTTCGTTACATACTATAAGTTTCATATTCTCTATTGAAGAGTTAAATTTACCGCAGATGTTTTCTAAGTTTGTCATATTCGGATTCGAATAGCCCTCTAACAGTTTGCACAAAATATCTGTAAAGAAAGTATTCTTACCTGTTCCTTGTTTTCCAATTATAATGAGAGCAGTTTCATTTTTAGCACTTGGATGTTGTAAGATGTTTGCAAACCAACATAAGATATACTCATAGACTCTTTCGTTTCCATTGCATATAATTTCTTTGACATGGTCTAACCAAGCTTCTATAATATTTTCTTTCCATTCTACTTGTTCATATTTATATCCAGTGAAGATAGAATAGAAGTTTGGAGAAGGTGTATAGAACTTTATACCACGAACTGAAAAATCTTCTAACTTTGACAATAAGATATCCCAAGCATCTAACATCTTCATGCCAACTTGTACGACTTTTATTTTCTTAAGTTTCTGTCTACATTCTTGTTCTGAAACTATTGTTGCTCTTGGTTTGTTAAAGACAACATCCCATTCTTTCATAACATAACATTCTGGGGCAGAGTCGACATAAATGACTAAACGTTTCAAATTCTCGACTGCTTTGTTATAGTCTCGAAATGGACACATATTTCTGAACGCTTGGAAGTCATAAAAATCTGAAACGTCTATTCTGTACATTTTTATAAAATAAAAAAAAAATATTTTTTTATTCTTGACTTTGTTGTTGCATTTGTTCCATTTGTTGCATTTGTTGTTCTTGAGCTATTTGTTGTTGAAGTTGTTCTTGTAATACAATACTTTCACCAGTTGCATCTTCCAATTCGAAACTTTCTGCCGTCATTGACAAATACATAGGACATAAAAGTTTTACAGGAACAAAGTTTGCGTCAACTAATGTCAAGTTATACTTGCCAAAGTGTTTGAGTTCACTAAAGGTTGAAAATTCTGCATTCGAATGAACAATAGGCAAACCAGCAGAGAAAGTGTTGTTTATACGCATAAGTATCTTTTGGTCATAGTAGTTTCTGTCGACATTCGAATAGCACTTTGAACCTAAGTTTGAAACAATATATAAAATAGGTGTACTTAAAGTCAATGGAACAGACATTCCTTGTATGACACCTTTTCCTGTTATAGGAAATGTTGGTAGTAAAAACCAGATATAAGTTTTGTATTATAGCTCATATCGTTTATAGTAAACTCAGTCGGACATCCAAACATAATGAAACCTGCTCTAGTTGCAGCACATGTTACATCCGTCCTTAAAGTATTAAATAAGTCAACAAAACCTGTTGGTGGTATATCTGAGTAAGTATCTTCAAAGGAGTATTTTTTACCATTCACAACAATAAAATCTTCTGGTGTCAAAAGAGCAAAACAGGCTTTAGTCGTCATTGTGTTTAAGTTAGTTTACAATATCGTCCTTGAGGACTTTGTAAGTTTGTTGTTATAGAATTATATGACTCAGGGTTTTTTAGTCGTAATAGTATAAACACTATGTCTTCTGCCATTTACTTAGCAACTAAATTTTAATGAAATGTTGTGGTCGTCAAATATTTTTATGACGTCTGGGAAACTATATTTTAAGTTCAACGTTTCACCTCCTTTCATAACGTATATCTTGTCAATGACATTATATGAAACACCACAGCAAGCAATGTCGGGTTCTATTTCTTTGATGTTTATATCGTCTGCCTCTGTCAAAAGTTTCAATAGTTCTTTCAAAATTTCATGAGGTGCGATGACATATGAGTTCACTTTTACAGGGTTGTGTTCGACCAAGTTTAACATTATACCCAAAGCTTGACAAATCTTCTCCTGAGTTTTAAGTTTGTCTTTAAGTTGTTGGTAGTCGTTTCGAATATCTGCAACAGAACTTAAGTCTCTGCTAACTTCAGGGTATGTTGGTTGTTCTTTTACAGGAACAATTGTTATACCATCTTCGTCTTCGTATGGTTTCCCCACTTCAACATCTCTTTCTTTGACATTGACAACAACACTTTGACTGTTTGTTTGAGTTGGTGAATTTAACTTCACATCTGCCACCGCCATTAAACCTTTTGAAACACTTACGCTTCTATTTTTCGGAAATGACATTTTACTTAGAATAAAAAGATGGACGTATTTGAGTATCTCTTCGAATTGAAGCAAAACAAAGTTTACACACACAAACAATACAAGTTCATTGACAGAATAGTTCTTTATACAAACAATGGAAAATGTTATAGAATAGCAGTCTTTGCTGAACCAAAATATTTTCATAAAGCAAAGAAAGTTGGTATAACGAGATGGTGAAAGTTCTTGAAGCAGACAAAAATATAACAACAAAACTGACCGATATTTCTAAAGGTAAGTTTATAATACAATATTATATCAAAACTGGCGTACTGTCAATATTTGACGGAGAGAAGTCAGTTCAAGAACAACTTACTGACCTGCTGCCAAAATCTGCTCGATGGAAGCTGTCGTTATGCCAATCTGAGGAGCCCCAGCAGGTTTCATCGAACGAATTTTCAAAAAGAGCATCTTCCGTGAAAAGTGCTATTGGTTTTGTAAACTTCTTTGCTCTCAAGTTCATCTGGACCGTCTCTGTCACCAGTATATTGTATTTGAACTGTACCAACAGTTGAAATACCACCCATAAAGTCTTCTGAGTCAGCAAATGGAATGCCAAGCCAAAAGTTTGAACGGTCTCCATTTGTATATTGAGTTTTTGAGCTCCTGTATGAGTCCATACTTTCACATATGGCATAATAGAACTTTGCATTTCAGGGTTAATGGTTGTTGTGAAGTTGTTGTTAAAGTTCATAGCATCTAATGTCAAGTTGTATGACCTCATATCCTCAACTGTAGAATATTCTTCTCTTGGATAGTATTTGCCATCTATGTTTATATGGTATTTAATACCAGGGTTGTAGAAGCAAGAATAGTCATTTATAGTTCGTCTGAACAGTACAAACATAGTATCTGCATGTTTCATTGCAGTTGTTAAAGCAATATCTGTTCTTGCACCTGGGTCAGCACTTTGGTTTCCAACTTCACCTGCAAAGTCTTTGACAGATATTTGGTGTATAGGGAACATAAGTGGAACTGCAATATATTTGGCAGCTAAAGCATTTGAAATATCTGGGTCCAACATATAGACTGCAAGTCTGCTTTCTATTCTCTTGCATTCAAACTTTTCGCATGTGAACTTAACTGGGTCCCAAGCAGTTCCAGCAGCATTGAAGTAGTAGTTTACTTCAGTGTTGAGGTTTGAGAAACCAAAGTCTAAGTCAACTTTGTCTTTGCAAAATTCGGCGAATGACGTTTGATTTGCTCCCACTACTTCTGTAAGAGTGAATGGGTCTTGTGTTGGTGCAATGACTAAGTTATTTTTGCTTGGAGTAAGTTCGATAGAAATTTTTCCTGCCCAGTTTGGCAAGTATCTTAAAAACCTGAAGATGAGGAAAGATGACAAAGGAACTCTAAGTTTCAGTTTTACTTTGGTTACTGCTGCTGCAGTTTGTCCAGAAAGGTTAACATAAACTCCTGGAACGTTAGGGTCAAGTCTTCTTATTTTCTCAATAGTTGCATACTGGTCTGTTTGTTCTCTAGCTTGTGGTTGTACTGAGTTTCTCAAAGCGAACCATTCATAGTTTGCCCATGTTACTGTTTGAACTAAGTCAGAGTTAGAATATATCTTATATCCCATGAAAACTTCTGGAGCATATTGGTATCCGACATAGAAAATTCCATTGCAACCTTTCTTGTCAGACAACTTGGCAGAAGGTTTTATTTCAATGTCTTGTTCCACGTATAAGAAAGAGTTGTCAATAGAAATTATATGAAACCTGTCGCAAGCAATATCTACTGTTGTTGAAGAACCTTCTCCAAACTCACCTACGTTTCCATAAGAAACAGCAGTTGTATATTCGTAAGTTCCAGGAACTATTTCTGACCTTCTAATGGCATTGTCGCATTCGTTATACCATTCGGAAACATTTCCATTCATGGCATCCAAAACTGTTGGCGTTATATTCTGAGCGGCGTACATTTCATATGAGTAAAAATATAGAATAGTTGGATTTATATGTCATAATAGAACCCACTCCGACCAAGCTTTACTTTCTTCCTGACTGAGTTTTTAACTCTTCTTTTTCCTTCATTGCCCTCTGCTTGAAGTTGTTGCATCTTTGCATTATGTTCATCTAGTATGTTGCAAATTTCCCATGTCCTTTTTGCCTTTTGGCTCTGGTCGCCCATCTCAGGTAACCTATATCCTAGAAAGAGTTTGTCATAGTCTGTATTTGAGTCTTCGCGTATTGTTTGCATGACTCTTTCCTGAGTTTCTGGTTCAAGCTCTTCAAACAGTGCCTGTCCATATGGAATATGCTCGTTTCCAAATATATGTTTTTGTAGCCATTCTGGTTTTCTTTCCATGTTACCAACAATATCTTTTGTGAATGGGAAAGCTTTTACCCAATCTTTCAGTCTTGCGTCGTTTATTTCTGTAGTTGGTTTTATTTTGTCAAGGAACATGTTTTTCAATACTAACATTTCATTTGGTACTGTCCATTTGAGTTTTCTTAAATATTCATCCCTTCTCGGTTCATTGTCTGCAAAGTAAGTTTTTATGACATTTTGTAAACTTTCGTTTGCAAGGTCATGTACAATAGGTTCTCTTCCTTCGCTGTCCATAACTTTCTTTCTAAACTCTTCGCCAAATATACCATCTCTATGGTTCTGTGTAGTTCTTTGAGATAAATGTTCTAGAACGTCAGGTGTTATATTTCCATCAGCCATGTTCATTTCATACTGGTCCAAAATATCTGCATCTTTCATATCTTTCAATGGCATTAAAGCCGCGCTTAAAATACCAGCTATATCTGGTTCACCATTGACTTCCATTGCGTCTACAACTTCTTGGAATTGTGGTTGTAAGTTTATGAACCACCTATCTGGATTAGCTTTATGACCCCATCTCATTGTAGTTCCATCGTCTGCAGAAACAAAAGTAGGTTTGTTTCCATCTTGGTTAGGTTCTGAATGAACTTTAAACAATGTTTCATTTCTATATGTTTTCTTGAAATTTAACC